TGACAGAGAGTCTGGGAAACAGGAAAGAACCTAAAAGATATGCATGGTACCCAGGAGAAGAGAAATGAGGCAAGATCCTCTAAACAGATGGGGAACACGGCGAGAGGTGGGGGGGAGGGGGACCTGGGAAATAGAGAGGGGGAGAAGTGGAAGAGAGAGTATGATGTGGAGGAACAGGAAGGTAGACTGGGGGGGGTAGGATAGGGGGAAGAGGGAATCATAGGTTAGAAGACAGATCAGGCACCATTGTGACCTCTAGTGATCTAAACGGATGACACCAATTGGCAAGCTAAGCAATAGTGTAGAGACCACCTCGAATGCCCAATCCTGATAGTGAACTTGATGTCTATAAGCATCCTGGAGCCTTCATCCAGTGACTGATGGAAGCAGAGGCAAACACCCACAGTTAAATACTGAACAGAACCCAAGGAACCCAGCGGCAGAGAGAGAGGAGCAAAGAGCAAATTGGCAAAGAATAGGCTGGCAAAACCAGCAGAGACAGCTGATCTGAACAGGGGAGAGCTCTTGGACCCCAGACCGACAGCTGGGAGGCCAGCATGGAACCGATCCAGACCCCCTGAATGTGAGAGTCAATGAGGAGGCCTGGGCTACCTATGGGGTCCTGAGCAGTGGATCAGTGTTTATCCCTTGAATACTAACAGACGTCATGTGTCCATAACACAAAGAGGGTTGCTCTCTCTGCCTGGACTCTTAGGGGAGTGCCTGGACCCTACCCTGAGTGAAATGAAAGACTCTAGATATCCCCTATGCGGAAGGAATTGGCAATAGGGTGGGAGGATGGGGGGGATGGGGGGGTGCGGGAGGAGGGGAGGGAGGGGGAACTGGGATTGACATGTAAAACAAGCTATTTAAAATAAAAATAAAAAATAAATAAAAGAAAAAAGTTTTATATCTAATGTATCTTCTATTGTAACTAAGGAAAACAACTATAACTATCTGTCTTCAACTCCATCAAAGACCCCAGAAGGATATAATATAAACTCTAGAATTGACAGAGACAGCTTGCTGTCTGGACAGTCACCCAAAGTTTCTTTGTAATGTTGGGGTATCTATCTTCAGCCTATAGGCCCACAGTATCTGGCAAACCTCAATGAAGCAGGAAATTTGAAGATTTCTTCTGCCTTGTATTGGCAAAGTTCATCAGTTGCTTTCTTTTCTGTAGCAGGAACCCTGAAGAACCATTTCGTTTAGCAGGCATTTTTCTGTGGGTACTGTATGTCCAGTTTACATAGCATACAGTCAGTCAAGCAAAAACAGTTTCTTGTCCAAATGGCTATCCCTGACATATTAAAGACAGGCTCCACAATGAGTTTCTTCAATGCCCATCAGACATGGGTTCAATTCATGGCTTTCGTACCAGGTGGCTCACAAGTGTGACTTCACCTACTAGGGATCCAGCTTCTTCTGGACTCCAAGAGCAGCTGGACTCAAAACTGCATGTGCGTGTGCATTCAGAATTTAAAAGAAATGTTATTTTTCTAATCTTAAAACAACAAAAAACCTCTGCTTTTGCAATTCTGCTCCCCTCCTTTTTATGGTAATTTAATCACTTAATCAGACCTCATGGACACCTTTTCATTACGATCTATACTACAATCTTTGTGAGCCTGTGTGTGTGTGTGCAGGTCAGTCTTTGGCATTGTTACTCAGGAGCTATCAGTATTATTTTTTGAGATAAAGTCTCTCACTGACCTCAAGTTTCACCAAGTTGTTCAGACTGGATGGCTAAGGAGTCCCAGGGATCCTCCTGTCTGCATCCCCCAGGCAAGGACAACAAGGGTGCATCACAACACTCAGGCTAAGGAGTCCCAGGGATCCTCCTGTCTGCATCCCCCAGGCAAGGATAACAAGGGTGCATCACAACACTCAGGCTAAGGAGTCCCAGGGATCCTCCTGTCTGCATCCCCCAGGCAAGGACAACAAGGGTGCATCACAACACTCAGGGATCCATCTGGATCTTCAGCTTCCAAGGCAAATGCTTTACCATATTAAAATGGAATTTTAATATTCCATGCTAAAGTTTTTAGGGCTGGAGGGATGGCTCAGCAGGGACTGCTCTACTAGAGGACCCATCTTCAGTTGCTAGCTTAGATGGCAGCTTACGGCCATCTGTCCCTTCGGGTTCAGGGCATCTGATGCTGCCTTCTGGTGGCCCTGGACATGCAGGTAGTACACAGACAAACATGAAGGCAAAGTACCCACATACATAAAATAACTAGAATAATAAAAGCACAGTTCTAGACACAGGTATTAACAATAAGCAACTGTTAAATAATGAAACAACTTTCTTTTTTTAATGACTGGGGATGTATATCTCAACAAAAGAATGCTTACCTAGCATGCACCAAACCTGGGTTTGATTCCCAACAATGGGGGAGGGGTCAAGGGTAGACAAGGAAGTTGGTAGAGAATCAAAATACCACTCTCTCTGTGAAACAGAGGCCAGGGCTACCCAGTAAGGTTGCTGCCATGAACCTTGCACAAGACCCAAGCGTCCACAGAAGATCTGGACTTTATTTAAGGCTTAAATTGAAGAGGATCACTCACATAAAACACTAAAGTGAATCTTTGGTGGGTTTTCTTATTCACTGTTCAAGGTAAAATATCCAAGTTTACTCCTATTAGTTTTGTTAAAATTTAAGACATTACTTCATGAAGATACTATCCTGCATTCAAGAAGACTGTCTCAAAACCACACAGTTGTGCTAGAGAGACACATCAGTTGTTAGAGCACTGGCTACTCTTCCAGAGGACCCAGGTTCAAGTTCCAGGACTGTATGGTGGCTTACAATTGTCCATAACTCTAGCTCCAGGAGATCTATCTCCTTCTGTGACCTTTACAGGTACCAGTCACACATCCAAGCATACTTACATACATGCATTCTTACATACATGCATACACATTAAAAAAATATTCTTCTAACAAAAGAGCTCTTTCTTTTTCTTGCCTTTTCGAGACAGGGTTTCTCTGTGGCCTTGGAGGCTGTCCTGGAACCAGCTCTTGTAGACTAGACTGGTCTCGAACTCACAGAGATTCACCTGCCTCTGCCTCCCAAGTGCTGGGATTAAATGCGTGTGCCACCACTGCCTGGCTCAAAAGAATTCTTCTTGAGTAAAACAAATACTTCTTGCCTTTCCTATTCAGACAGATTAGAAGAAAATACCTCCCCTTGGATCAGAAGTTAAGTGCTGCTAAATCACTGTTAAACACTTGTTAGGGCTACAGAGATGGGACAGCTATTAAGAGGACTTACTGTTATTATAGAGGATCTGGGTTTGGCGCACAGCACCCACTTGTAGGCTAACAACTGTAACTCCCAGTTTTGATGCCTTGTTTTCCTCTCCATGGGCACCAGGCTCATACATGGTACATATACGTATATACTACACAGGCAAATTGCTGGCATTCCAGCTGGCTTAAGGAAAAGACTATCAGCCAAACTGTCTGGTGGACTGTCTTCATGCCAACACTCTTTAGACATCTTGTGGAAACTACAATGGGTGATCTCAGTGCTTGCTAACAAAGAACAACTCTGTCCTAGAAGCTAATATTCCAGCTACAAGTGTTTCAAGACAAAACAGTCCTTTTGGCAGGAATATCTGCTTGGTTGGTGCAAGTGTCCTTCCCACCCACACCGCTTTCTGGCTATAGAAGCAGCTGTCTGGCTCACTTTCGAAGCCAGCCGAGACACTGTCTTGTGCTGCCCCGTTGTGTTGCAACAAGAGACCCAACAAAGAAAGGTTTTCTTCTCCTACGTGTCTTTTTCTAGCCTACCCTTGATTTCTATCACTAGTGAAGACTGAGCTGGTAGAACACGTTGACATCAACAGTGGCACCAGCAGGAAGCAATGGGAAGAAAAGGCAGAGTCGCTTCACTGCAAAGGAGACAGCAGTGGTAGGAGACACAGTGCATGGATGATGGGATCACAGCCAAGTGAGCGAAACTCTGAAGGTCAGAAGTAAGAAACTGCAGGCCCTACTTGCTACAAGGGCTTCAGGGGGCTGTCAAACATTAAGGACAAAGGGTCATAGACATCAAAGACTCAAGACATACAACACTAACCAGTGTAGAGGTTTGAGAATCCCAGACACCCTTGCTGCTAAAGGCTGAGGGCTGCAGTACCTGTCTAGAGCTGTAACACTAGGAGGCACTGCTTGCTTGGTGTCTGCTGACCTGATTACCAATGCTAGAAGTTATGTTAGCATCTAAATACTGGAGCTGCTGAGGGATAGAGCACAGAGCTATATAATCACCTAACCCGACTGTCTGAAGCTTCAAGTCCCAAACTTTTCAAGTCTAGAACAATAGGTCCCATGCCTGCCAGAAGAGCCCTCAAGCCTTAGAACTCAAGGGTTGAGGACCGTCAACACCAGGAGAGTCTTCCTGCCTACTCATAATTCCTATCAAGGTAAAGCCAAGGCCCTAGCCAGCTGACTGATAATGATATCTTTCAGATTTATTCTTATTTTTATTTGTGTGTAACTGCTAAAGAGGGCACTGGGTCCTCTGGAGTTAGAGTTATAGGGAGTTGTAAGCTGCCCAACATGTGGGCACAGGGAACTGAACTTAGGGCCTTCAACCCAACACATGGTTTTTCATCAAGAGTAAGCATTGTCAAAGAAAAAAAACTACAGTCACTTCTTTCTGTTTGTTCTTTGTTTTTTTTTTTTTTTTTTTTTTTAAAGGTAGGCTCATATTTTAGGTCAGGCCAACCTGGCCATTTGTACCTCAGACTTAACTGTGATTCTCCTACCTCAGCCTCTGTAGTGCTGGGACTACAAGCACGAGCTTCTTCACCAAGCTGCAATTATTTCTAATATAGCTGTGTGTGTGTGTGTGTGTGTGTGTGTAGTGTTTAATATATGTAAAATATATCACATATCTGATTCTACGAATAACTTTTAGAAACCTATTATCTATCAGTGAGGGAGGAAAGCACAACTAGAGAAAAGTTTAACATATCAAGAATCTACTGACCTTAACCCATTGAACAGCTGCTTGGATTTATCCAAAAGGTAACAGAAATCTGTAACTGTCTTCCTCTCTCCCTGTGGGATGTCATCTTCAGCACCTCCAGTGGACATGGTTTCTTTAAGAGTAAATTCAGTCCTGTAAGAAAACATATGCTCATTTACTCGGCTGATGAACAGAGGAGAGAAGTAGGTCCTAGTAACAGCAACTCATGGCATTTTCCCTCCAAGAAACAAAGAATTCTTTTGATTACTCAAATAATCAAAACATGTAAGGTATGTTAGAAAATAAACGATCTCACACTGGTAATGTTAAGAATTGGTGGAAACACATACAAAGTCATTTTTAACATTCTTTCTAAGAACTACAATTTGAATTCTTATTCTATTGCAGGCATTGGTCTGTTTAATAATCCTAAATATTGATCCTTTTACCTATTTGCCGAATTTGATTCTGTAAATTTATCCCAGAAAATAATCCTTCTCACCTTCTCCATATTTTATTATAATAACAATTAAAACCTAAAAACAATCTAATGAGTCCAAATATCAGGGAAGTATTTCACAGAATATAAATCCCTACACAGAATACAAATCCTATATCTGATTTCCACTTCCACTTAAGGTGAAGGTGGGGACTGAGGAGATAGCCCATCAGGTAAAGCAGAAGACCTGAGTATCATCCCAGCACCCACACAAAAAGCTGAGCATGGTGGTACATATAATCCCAGAGGTAAGGAGTAAGAGGCAGTCAGACCAGCTGAGTTGGCCAGCTCTAAGTTACAGTGAGAGACCATATTTCAAAAAATGAGGCAGATAGCACATAACAAATGACACTCATCACACACATATGTATCAGCACACACCCTAAAAAAAGGGCAAGGCAATGAATATAAGGAGGATTAAAAACTGTCTCATACACAGAGGTATATACTAAAACTGTACTTTTTGATCTGTCCAGCAATGCAGTTCAATGGGTAAAGAAAGAGCTTGCTGTCAAGCCTGATGACCTGAGTCAGAGTCTTAGAACCCTATAGGGTAGATAGAGAAAACCAAGTCCTGTAAATCATCCTGTTTCCCATCATGTAAAAAAAATTAATCTACATTTTATTGAATACAATCTATCTTCACATGTAATCAATTACATTAACTAGCCATTTTAAAAAGGGAACCTGTACTAAGTTAAGATATAAAAGTAACTCATTTTGTTTACAAAGACAGAAATTCCTAGGACAACACAGTAAACTTTGGTCCCAGTGTAGGGAGACAAAAAGACAAGAGTAGACAAGGGCCAGAGACCAGACAAGAAGTTAGGGTATACTTACTTTTTCAATTAAAAATAAAGGATTTGTTTTATAGATGTATTTTAAAAATTCGAATGTGTGTGTGTGTGGGGGGGTTATGTACACATGAGAGCAGGTGCTTAAGACCAGAGATATTGGGTCCCCTGAAACGGCTATAAGCTGACATGGGTTCTAGGAACCAAACTCAAGTCCTTTGGAAGTGCTCTTAGCTCCTGAGCCATCTGTACAGCCCCTGGTAGAGTTATTCTAATGAACTCTGTTTTCTCCAACATTATCTGGAACGGGCAACAGTGAATGCAAGGCAGGAAAACCATAAGCACAGTTAGAGCAGTCAAAAGCCTGCTGGGTAACACAAAGGTGTCACTGGAGACAGATGTGGTAAAGCCTCATTCATTCATTCGTTCGTTCGTTTGTTTTTTGAGACAGGGTTTCTGCTGGGACTAGTTCTGTAGACCAAGCCAGTTATGATCCATTTACCTCTGCCTCCTGGGTGCTGGGATTAAAGGCACGCACCACTACCACCTGGCTTTCTTTTTTTTTAATTATGTGTATATGTGTGTGTATATGTCTATGTGAGTGTGTGCCACGTGTGTGGAGTTCAGAGATGCTGGATCACCTAGAGCTGTAGTTGCAGGCAGCTCAGCCATCCAAGATGGGTATGGGGAATTGAACTCGGCTCTCTGGAAGAACAATACATGCTCTTTTTTTTTTTTTGGTATCTTTTTAAAATTAAAAACAATCTTAATTTACATACCAATCCCAGTTCCCTCTCCTTCCCATCCTACCAATCCTCCCCCCACACAAATACATGCTCTTGACTGCTGAACTCCAATCTCTCTTGTTCAGAAGTTATTTTTAACATGCATGGCAGGTTTTTGCATGTTCCCATGTTCTGTTACCCTATTGGCCTTCTCACTTCATGGACTAGAGGAAAGAGATCCGGTAGTTTTGCTCCTAAGAGGGGAGTTCAAATCATAATATAAAAGATCTTGAACCCAACAAATCTCCTAATGCACGCCCACAACCTGCCCCTTCACTTCCTAAGCACAACAGGAGAGGCATAAACCAAGCTGTAGCTTTCCTGACTCCATCTCATACTCTCATCAGTGAGGGCTGCTAATGTCCACAGACAGACAACTTCACAGGGGGAAAAAAGGTAAATAGAATGAAGTTCATGAAAGGAGACTATTAGAAACAAAGCAGGTAGAAACTGTTATTATAAGACAAATATCACCACCAAAATAATAAACTTTATAGAAGTCTTGAAGAGCAACATGGAGATTTTCAAAACAATTCATAATCTACAATGTCAGCTTTAAGGTAGTCTGCCAAAAGTTATCAGGAAGAGATGAAAAATAAGGAAAGGGATACAAGGACTAGAATGGCAAGAGAAGTCATTATTCATACGATAGCATATATGGACAGAAAAGCCGAACAAGGGAGAAGGAACAGTTATAGAAATAATACATTTCCTAGAATGAAAAAAATAAAAGATCTCAGACTGAAAAGGCTCTAAGAATGCCTAACAAAATCAATTGGGACTACCCTAATTGTCATCATAGAACCTCCATACAGAAACTGATAGAGGCAGATGCAGAGATCCACAGCCAACACTGGGTCGAGCTCCAGGAGTCCAGTTGAAGAGAGGGAGGAGGGAGTATATGAGTGGGGGTGGGGGGTAGGGATGGAGGGGGTGGTGGTGGGGTGGAGTGGTGGTGGGTCCAAAGGGATTATATGATCATGATGGGGAAACCCAAAGAGACAGCTGACCGAACTTATGAGAGCTCATGGACTCTAGACTGACAGCTGGGGAGCCTGCATGGGACCAACCCAGGCCCCCTGCATGTGGGTGATAGTTGGGTAACTTGGTCTGTTTGCCCCTAGCAGTGGGATCAGGATCTGTTTCTGGCAAAGGAGCTGGCTTTTTGAAACTCATTCCCTGTGGTGTGGAACTCATTCCCTGTGGTGGGATGACTTGTTCAGCCTTAATGCAGGGAGGAGGAGCTCGGTCCCGCTTCAACTCAATGTGCCAGGCTTCCTTGACTCCCATGGGAGGCCTTACCCTTTCTGAGGAGTGGATGGAGGTGGGGGAGGAGACAGGAGGAGAAGAGGGAGGAGAAATGTGGTTGGATTGTAAAACAAATAAAAAACAAACAAAAACAAATCCATGAAAAAGCCACTTGCCCGTGGGTTTGAAGCCACCATCCCAGGCTGGGCCCCGGCCAGCTAGGTTTCTCTTCCCAAGTCTTTGAGTTTGGGATTTCCTGTTGTAGCCTCTCTAAACAGTCTTCAGCTGCCACACAAACTCCCCTAGACCGGCTAGCTTTGCCTTCAGGTCCTTTCTGCCACAAAATCCCATGTGTGGTTTTTTAGACACCAGGATCCCCCACCCCACCATGTATTTTGGGCTTTCCCTAAAGCCCCTCTCACAGCCACAAGCTGGTTCTCAGATCAGATTTGCTACACCTCATAGTTTACTGACATTGTCTGCAGATTTGGTAAGACAACGGGGGAATTCTGTTTTTTTAATTTAAATTAGAAACAAGCCTGTTTACATGTCAATCCCAGTTCCCTCTCCCTCCCCTCCTCCCCTGCCCCCAACTAGCCCCCATCCCATTCTCGTTCTACTCCCCCAGGGAGGGTGAGGCTTCCATGGGGGGATCTTCAAAGTCTGTCATATAATTTGGGTCAGGGCCTAGGTCCTCCCCAGGGTGTCTAGGCTGAGAGAGTATCCCTCTATGTGGAGTGGGCTCCCAAAGTCCATTCATATGCCAGGGATAAATACTGATACACTACCAGAGGCCCCATAGATTGCCGAGGCCTACAAACTGACACTCACGTTCAGGGGTCTAGATCACTCTAGGCTTCCCAGCTATCAGTTTGGGGGTCCATGAACTCCCCCCTTATTCACGTCAGGTGTTTCTGTGGGTTTCACCAGCCTGGTCTTGACCCCCTTTGCTCATCCTCCATCTCTGCAACTGGATTCCAGGAGTTCAGTTCAATGTTTAGCTGTGGATCTCTGCTTCTGCTTCCATCAGCTACTGGATGAACTCTAGGATGGCATATAAGGTAGTCATCAATCTCATTATCGGGAAAGGGCATTTAAGGTAGCCTCTCCACTACTGCTTAGATTGTTAGTTGGAGTCATCCTTGTAGATCTATGGGTATTTCCCCAGTACCAGATTTCTCTTCAAACCTATAATAGCTCCCTCTATTATGGTATCTCTTACCTTGCTCTCTTCTATTCTTTCCCAACTCAACCTTTCTGTTCCCTCATTCTCTTCCTCTCCCCTCCTCTTCTCCCTATCTCTTTTTCCTAGCTCCCTCTCTCCCCACCCCCATGCTCCCAATTTGCTCAGAAGATCTTGCCCCTTTCCCCTTCCCCGGGGGACCATGCATGTTTTTCTTAGGGTCCTCCTTATTTCCTAGCTTCTCTGGCTGGAATTCTTAAAGGAAAGAATTAGTTAAGAGAAGAGGTTAAGACTATTAAACAACAGTGTAAAGCTAGAGGGACAGAAATCTCCCAAGATCAAATTCTTGGAGAATAAAATTATGCTACAATAGAAAGGCAATTGCTATGTGATGACCATGCCCCGACTTATGTCATGCAGCAGATTTGAATGCTTGGGAAAGAACTGGAGAAGTAGGAAGGAAAATTGAGTCATTTTATACAGGGCCCAAAGGAGGCCTTCACAGATTTTTTTTTTTTTTACAAAGATTGGCATCAGCAGTAAATAAAATGTTTTTTTTTGTTGTTCACTGGGTTATGGATATTTGTCATTGTTTAGGAGGTTGGTTACAAGTTGTTATTGGGTATAGGTAGGAAGAAAATTGA